TGTGCAGCTCCTGACTTAAGCCTCTACAACCTACGGACACCATCACAGCTCACCACTACAACCTACGTGATCAATTATAGCCTAAGTGGTTCAAAGCTAATGGAACTCCAAACTCCAAACCCTGCAACCTACAAGCATCATAGCAGCTCGCCACTATGCCCCATGTGACCAACTGTGACCTACATGGATCACAACATCTGCTACTTCATACTACAGTCATTGTGGCAAAACAACACTCCTAAAGTAATCATCAGTGGCCCGCATGGCCAACTACTAGCATGGCTTTCAACTATAACCTCCACAACAAGCTGGCGCTACGACCACTGCTTACAACATTCACAACGGACTACTGCATCCATAATAATTGACTATGACCCTTACAGCATGCAATCATCAAGAACTACAATCAAACTATGATTATATCAATGAACCACTCTTTTACATTTACAATGAAAATCTTTGTAACTTCATCTTCTCTAATTCTACTCATCGTTCATAGTAGAATATTTCAACTAAGTTATGTCCTATGAATTTTTATATTTCAGTATTTTCTATGTAAAAACTTCTAGTATCGTTAATAGTTGCTTACTTCTATCTAAGTGTATGTTGGAGTGTCGTATAATGCTAAGACACTAAATAATCACTCTACCGTCATGGTTCTTTCCACACACATCAATTGTATACTTACGTGTTTAAATTATGTTTGAACTTCATTCAAATTACATTCAAATATGGATTAATCAATGCTCAAACATGGATCAAATCTCTGTTCAATCCACATGCAAACTATGCCATTCAATTTCAAACATGTTTAAAAATAATGAAAAATGTGATTAAAATTAGATTTATTTTTTTTCAAATAATGTTCGATTATGATAAATAATGTCTGAACACATTCAAACATTGAAAAGTATGTTTAGATAAAATTTTGAACATGCGTTCGAACACATTCGAAAAATATTTGATTATGGTTTGGACAACATCCACACATGTTTGAATATGACAAAAAATATGATAATATATTTGAACAAACTTGAATAATGTTTGACTATGATTCAAAAAAAAAAAATGTTAGTTCAAATACATGCTCTAATATAATTTGAAGCATAATATTTGATAATCAATCAAGTTATCTATTAGAATTTTGAGCTCCATCAACCAAATTGCTACAAATGTTTAAGCTGAATCATGCACTAATTATTATATTTAGGTTCAACTACTACAAATCTTACAAGTTTTAATGCTGTTTGAAAAAACTGTGATCTTATTCTTTGCTATGTCAACAAGAATGATAGTAATTACCAAATGGATCAGCAGATTTAATTACTTTATCAATTTCCTTGAGTTCGTTTAGTGATGCCACGTAGGTGAATTTGAGATGAGATGAGACTATTTTTTATTGGTACAACTTTAAATAAAATGAAAATTTTAATAACTATGATATGCCTTCAACTGATTTTTATCTTCCGATACGAATCACAATGTGTGAGACGAATCTCGAGAAAAACTCTGGTTTTATATACTCTATTAAAAATTTTCATCATTTGAATAATTAAATATATTTCAAGATAATGTTTTTTTTCTTTGAATTGGTATATTATTTTTCAAATAGTCGTATTCGATTTAGATTAAAATCTTTTGAGATCTATGGTGGATATACTCAGAAGAAAAAAAAACTCCATTAGCTCCTTCATGAAAGGGGAGATTTTGAATCAAAGGAAGCCCATTGATTCTAAGAGCAGGAATTGAGGTACAGTGTTAAACACCGAGGGTCCAAAGAACACTACTCGCTCTTGCAACTGCCATCAACTACAGTCTGTCAACCCCTGCTTACTGTAAAAAAGTTCCTTACAAAATCATGAAGTGCACTGTGGAATCTCAGTGTATGTTATAGAGTTATGAAGCACCTTACGAAACAACACGATGACAACTGTGAAGACAATGTAACAATGTCTTCAAGATGGTGCAACGTGCACTCCGCATACAATCTAATGGCACACCCTGAAAACGGTGTAAAAACAAACTGTAAATACGATGCAACAATGTGCCTTATATACGGTTCAAAGACGCCTCCCAAAGATTGTGTAACACACAACCAGTAATAACTGCTTACAACTGTCTACTCATGATAATGTAACTTTCTTCGAACTCCGGAAGCTCTCTGCTTGTAGCCCGTCACTACGACCTATATGAACAACTACAACCTAAGTGATCCACCTCATGCAACTCCAAAATCAGGCCTCTATTGTCTACAAACGTTATCACAACTTATGCAGCTCCGAACTCCGACTGTTGTGGCCTACGAACGTCATTACAACTAATGTAACTCCCAAATCAAGAATTTGTAGTTACAAATGTTATAGCAGATCATGGAGCTCTCAACTTTGGTCTCTGCACCCTACATACATTATCACAACTCATGCAGCTTTGAAATCTAGCCTCTGCACCTTATGGACATTATCAAAACTTATGCGGCTCCCAATTCAACTCTAGCCTATACAGTTTATGAATGTTATCATAGCTCATGAAGCTTCCAATTATGGCATCTGCAGCCTACGAACATTATCACAACTCATGCAGCTCCAAACTTCAACCACTACATCCTACATATATTATCAAAGCTCGTGCACCTCTCAACTCCGGCCTCTGCGGCCTACGAACATTATCACAACTCACACTGCTCCCAATTACGGCCTCTGCGGCCTACAAACGTAATTGCAGCTCCTCTGTATGACCTATGTCACAATTCACGCAACTCCAAACTCCAACCTTTGCAAATTGCAACCATTATTTTAACTCCCTACTACTACGACTCTATGGTCAACTGATGTTTCTGAAGCAATCATCTACGACCCACACAACAAACTATTACTAAGACTTTCAACTATAACATCTACAACAAGTTGGTGCTTCAACCACCTTTACAACATTTATGTCGAAGTATTGCCTCCATAATAATCAACTACAACATTGACAACCCATAACAACTTTTATTGATAAAATGCCATGGTACATCAACTTTGCAACTCCATCTTTCTTAACTCTAGAGAATAGTGAGTCTATGTACTCATGATTATATAGTGAGGTTATTTTGATTGGGCTAGACCATATGATTTTTTTATTTTTTTCAATTTTTTCCTCTTTTTAGATTTTTCACATAAAAACTCAGTGTGCTCCTGCTGCTGCTCTTTTATTATCTGAGTATGTGATAAACATTCATGCGATGCTAAGACGCTAAATAATCACTCTATCACTGTAAATCTTCTACCAGATATAAAACTATGAGGAAAATTTATATGCATACCACACTAGTCTTTTGTATTTACATGTCAAACACTAACCTTTAATATTTACATTTATAATATATCGCCGTCATGAACTTATACGTAAAAGGTTGCTTCAATTTTTAAACAAATTAATAGTAGTAGTATTTTTATATGACATTAAAAAATAGAGTGTAATATATGTAAATATGAACGCTTGGGTGTTAGATATCTAAATACATAAAAATTATGTGGTACATGTTTAAATGCCCCCTAATTATTTTAAGATAAATATGATATAAAAAAATTATTTACTTTCTTATTACTCCTATTTTAAAATACAACTAATAACTAAATATTTGACTTTGAACAAATTTTGACATCACCAGAAAATTTGGTCAAATTAATTTTAATTTCGACAGGTAAAGTGCAACAGTGTATTATAATATTGCAAAGGATGAATTATTGCGTGCGGAAACAGTATCCATCTCTGCATGGGGTGTCCGATCCTGGCCGTAGATCACGTGATCTACGGTCAGGATTATTTCCATTTTTTATTAAAAAAAAAATTTAGGTGGGGCCCACCGAAATATATCGAGACTGTAGATTAGATGATTTAAGATCCGGAACCGTATGGAATAATTTTCCATTGCAAAGGGCTCTCGGCGCAAATAGTTTTTTTTTTTAATTCTATTAAATAAATAAATAGAATTTTAAGCAATTCTTCAGTCAATAACGTTCGACGGCACGTCTGAGTCGTCCGCCCGTCAGAACTAACGGCTAACGGCTTACGGCTTACGGCTAACGGATTCGTGGAAATCTCATTATCCCCTTTTTGCCCTTCCGGTAGCCGCGATTTCGGTTGGATTCGTATGGGTATTCATGGAACATTCAAAAACGCTAGTGCACGACTGCCCGTTCAACGGCTCCTGAGCAGCAATTGAAATGCACGAGAACGTTCTGCTAAAGTGCTACGAATGTGCTACCTTGGTAGTGGGGGCATTTACGTCAAATCATTCAATTTCTATTTATTTACATATATAATTTTATTTTTTATATTTTTATCCTTTAAAATCTTTATATTACATAAAAATAACAGCATCATTTTAATTAAAACAAATGAGATGCATATTTTCATGTATAATAAAATTACATTCATGTAAAAATTAAATTTAGATGTTATATAATAATTGAGTGGTTTTAATAATTATATGGAAACATTAAAATTTCTTTATCTCAAAATATATTTAAAAATTAAAATTCACATTGGCAAATTTTAATCAACGAACAAAAAAGTTTTTTTTCTTATATATTAACCTATTATTTGTGTTTTTATAATTAGGAATAATAAATATTTAAAGAATAACTTAATTATTATAAAATTTAGTTCTGATGGTGAGAATTATTTTAATCTCAATTTACAAAATCTGAAAATTATTTTAATATTAGTATTTAAATTTTTAAATAAAATATAATATAAATTTTAGTTGATTATAAAATATGTTAAATTATCTTAATTTTGTCTTCAAGAATGAGCGAAAAAGGGCGAATTTTTTCTGCGTTGAACGATTCAATGCAGACCAGAATTTAGTTATCTTTACAGCCATACGATAACTGTCCTCCAACTACAAACGAAAATGAATGAATTTAACTTATTGTTTTTAAAAAAAATTCTCTTTTTTAGATCAAATAAATATAAAGAGATCTAAGTTTCAACAAACATTTATCAGATTATAAAGCTGCTTCCTTTTTTATTTCTTTCTAGTCTACTGCTACTGACTCCTGCTCCTAATCTTCTCTCTCTAGAAGAGCAAGCAAGAGCTCCGGTATTCATCGAGAGAGAAGGAGAAGGATGTTCGACATACTAGTGGGGAGGAAATTCTCGAACAAATGGTGAAGTTTTGGTTTTGGATTTCTTTTCTCCGAGTTCGATTTTATGGTTTCTTGGATTGAGAACTGGTTTGGTTGTGTTGGCTGCAGCAAGCATTCGGTGAAATGCATAAAGTGCAGGATAGAGCTTATCCGGAAGAAGAAGCAGGTGATGGTGAAATATCTCAAGAAGGACGTTGCCGATCTCCTCGCCGGCGGCCATGACGCTAATGCTTTTGGCCGGGTAGGGATTCTTTTCTTTGGTTCTGAGGTCATTTTGCAAGTGGAGGTCTCTATCTGGTTTGAGTTGTTCTTGGTGTCCCTGATTTTTTGTTTTGATTTTGCGTTGCTATAGCGGTTATGCATTCTTTGGTTATGCTCGTTTAGTTCGATCTGGTTCCTTTGATTTTTCTTCTTCTTCTAACTGCTTCAGTTTGTGATGCACTGATTTGTGCATTTATTTGTGGAATTTGGATTTTCACCTTTTGACGCGCTTATCTTGTGTTCTTCTGTATCTTTCTCTGTGGCTCTGTGGGTTTCAGCTGTTTTTGTTGAAAACTGGGAGTAAACATTCGTACTTCAACAAAATTATAAGAATTGAAAAGAAATTTAGGAGATAGAAAACGGGTTAGACAAGACGAAAATGATCTTTGCCCTAAGGAAAAGTGCATACAAAGATTGAAGTTCTTTAGTTGTAAATGGATCAACTAGAGAAACAATTTTGTGGACAGAAGGATGATGTTGAAATACTTTCCTCTAATATTCAGGACCATTAGATCAACAAAGATCCAGAAGCTTTTCAGGCTTACATCTGGATTGATATTTATGGGTTGATATGTCCTCTCTTGTGCAACTTGTATGTTTTACTTGTTTTCTTATTCTGACTGTTTCAGCTCAAGGAAGCCGGATTGCTAAGTTGGATTTGTTCTATGATTTTAACTTAAATTATTTTTTCTTAGATTTTCTTATAAATGCAATTTCGTTGTTATGTCTGTCTGACTTAGTATTTACCTTGTCTTGTTTGAGCAGATCGATGCACTTATTGTTGAAATAAATCATGCATCTTGCTATGATATGATTGAGCAATATTGTGGATGTCTTTTGGAGCATCTCTCGACCATGTGCAAGGAAAGGTACAATCTTTCATTTTCTGCATTTCTGAAAGTCAAATTTCATCAGTTTTGCCTCTTTTGAAGATCTTAATTTACTCAAAATCATGCTTCCTGCTAGATTTTTGTTTTAGCTTATGGCTAAGGTAATTTTAGAGTCGAAGTGTGGTAGTGCTTTTGCTCAGGATTCTAAAAAATTTTTGGATCAAATAAAAACCAGCATTATGTCTTAAAGGTCATAAAGCGCAGCATGATACATGTTCAAGTTGGCAGAAAATCTATCTCATTCTATCATCATTATACTCCATATCCAACTATTTGAGGTCCATTGATGGGCTGCTTCAATACCTGTAAACATTTGTTTTCCATATATTTTCTTTTAAATATGCTATTTTTATTCCTCCTTCAACTATTTTATCCACAAATTCTTTGGTCTTCTCTTACAAACAGTTCAAACTTTATGTAGCAAATCTAACTTTAATCTTGATCCAGTCAACCTTTGTTCTAGGTAATATGTGTGGAGCTTAGCTAAAGTTTTCTTTTTTCTCTAGGTTTAAATGTCAATTACTAACCTAAATGCTTCTTGAGCTTATTTTAACTTGTACGTCCTTTTATTATTTACAAACCTGGGATGAGCCCCTTAACCTCAGCATGAGATCCAATTTAAGGCTTCTGCCTATGCTTTTCAAACTTCAACTTTACAAAACTTGTGGCACAATTTAAACTTGTGACAGCCTAGAGTTTTGATGAGTTGACGGTATACTAAATAGTTGACAAATACTTTTATTTTTTCTTTTGCTATAGGGAATGTCCTAAAGAAGCCATGGAAGCTGTAGCAACTCTGATTTTTGCTGCTGCCAGATTCTCAGACTTGCCTGAATTAATTGACCTCAGAAGTATATTTACAAAGCGATATGAAACTCGGATGGAATCTTGCATTAACAAAGAGGTTTTTAATTCTTAAACTGTAATCCCTTTCATAAGATATCCCCAGCTTTGTTTCCATGTATAAATCATCAGTAGTTATCTTTTCGTATTACAGTTTGTTGCGAAGATACAGAATAAATCATTTTCAAAGGTCAGGAAGCTGGAAGTAATGGAAGATATTGTCCAAGAGTTTTCTGTCAACTGGAACTCAAATATGTTTGAGAACAAAATGTCAAATCAATCCGCTCCTGTTCATGTAAGAAATTTTGATCATATTGATAGACATTCCACATTGAAATAGACTATTCAGAAAACTATTGATAGTTTGTCTATACTGTTTTAATATTTGTTAACATTTGGAAAGTCACCTGGTATTCTTTTCTACATAACAGGGAAAAGCATTGAAACATCAACTTGCTTTTGATGAGAATGAGAAACAGTTTGCCATGAGAGCTCTGCAGAACCTAGAAATAAAACCAGAGGAGCAGATAGAGTTTCAAACAAACTCCCACCAATGTCAATAACCCGTGCACTTTATACTTTTGAGAAGACCGCGAAGATGATTGTGGATGAATCAGAGAACGCCAAACCTGAATACACTGATAAAAATGCTATTGTCAAGCCACAATACAATCAGAATGAAAATTACAGAAATGGTTTCATAGTAGAAGGCAAGGCACAAAGGGCTCATGAACGAATTAGTCTGGTTGCAACTGAGAAGCAAACTTCAGCAGAAGTTGTGCACACCAAATCAACAGATGGCTCTAATGGAACCATTGTAGATCACGGCGGCTCAGCACTTTCTGAAGCTTCTGAGAACGTCAACGAGTTGGATCATAATGGTCAAGATAGGTGGCTTCATAGACCAGTAAATGCTTCTAGTCGGAGAACATTTTATCCTCAACCTCCATACAGGAAACCCAACTTAAACAACAATCCGAACAACAGTAATTACGTGAATCCTACAAACCATGAGAAGTCTGCTTGCGGCCAAGGTAACATGCCAAAAGACGAAATCTTTAAAGATGACTCCAATCTAAAATCTCAAATTCAAACCAAGCAAGGAAAAGAAACTGCAAGGGCGAATGACATCCATGGCGAAGTTTATTATGAGCAAAGGTTCAACATAAAGAAAACGCCCAGTAGTCATCGAAGACATGGTAGCAGGCGAACTTTAGAGACTTCCGAAGATGCTGGCTACGACAAAGAGGAGGAGAATATGGATAAACTCTTGATGCTTTACAGCAAGAAAAGCACAAATAATGAACCAAGAAAATGCAGAACAAAGATGAGAAGAGCCCCGAAAGAGCCCGTGGCTAGTGCTGCACTAGTTCCAGAACTCCTTGATGAAAATGGGCTTCATCAACTAATCAGTTCAGCTGAGAATGGTTTCATAAGTCGAGCTCGGGCCACCTCAAAGCCTTTGAGGCAACCGGAGAATGAAATCCGGGCAGCCTGGATCGCACAGCATTGAAGAATTTTTTTAGAATTTACTAATATTTCATTTTAACACGTCTACTAGTTCAATTGTTTGTTTGTTATAATGATTTGTTTGTTGCATTTTTTTTTTTAGTTTCAAATCATGATTTCAGGTGATCTTTAGCATTGCGTTTTATTGAGTTGCATGATAGGTGAAAATTTGAAATAGATGTTTTTTTTATTTTTTTGATTTGTTCTTGTATGATAGAATGTGTCGTTGGCATGCTGCAATCAGTTTACTGCATAATTTTGCTGATTTGACAATGCAGCAGTAATTGTAATGCACAAAGGTTATCTTAGTGGATTGTCATAGCAGTAATTGTAATGCATAATTATATTTAGTTTTTTTGCACTCCATAAATTTCAACATAACTAAAACCATGATTTTAAATTCATTTAATTTTAAATTTATTATACATCATTAAAAAGTTAATTTAGTAATAAACGGTAGCCGTTTCATATAAAATTTAAAAATCATGTCCGGCTCACCTAAACCCGGCCCTTAAAGCAGGCGCTCGCACGCATGCCTATGCCTGCCTGCGTTCCAGATTCCCAAACGGCCCTGCTCTCCCTCCCTTCTCTTCCTCTGAAGAAGCTAAGAGAAACAAAAACAGGGCATAACAATGGCAGAGCCAGCGATGGCCATCGGCCTTCTGGCTGTCATCCTCTTCCTCACCCTCCTCTTCCTCCTACTCCATCTCTTCTTCCATCTCCTCCGCCGCCGCACTCACCCACCATACGAACTCGAAACACCTCCCATCTCTCCGGCCAAGCTTTCTCCTTTCCACGTCAATGGAGTCCTCCGCGCTCCAAAAAGCTTCCTTCTTTCCTCCCCTGTGCTCGATGCCATGCTCCAGCCGCCGGCTCCCAGCGCGAACGCAACGGAGTGTTTTGTCTGCATATCAAATCCTGTTTTTGATTCGGCGAGCGGACGAAGCGAGGCGGTGATGGAGGAGAATGGCGACAGATCGCCGGAGCTGAAGCTGATGAAGAAGCTTCCTTTGTCGAACTCTGTGAGTGCTACGGAGACGAACAGAGCTTCTTTTTTGTCGGAGGAGCTTTGTTCTTCTCCTTCTTGGTGACTGTTGTGGATAGGTGGTTCAGGTTTAATTTGAAGCCGCCCTTTTTTTTCAGCTGTGTTCGGTTTCTGTAAGGAGCTGTGTATTTAAATCGGATTTAACTAAATCCGACAAGCAGAAAAATGGCAGCTTTCAAATGCTGGATTTAGTTTATCCTTTTTTTTCTTTTTTCTGTCCTTGGATTTTGGATTTAATAAAACCGGATTTACAAATCTATTAAAACTGCTAAAATTTTTATCATACTACTCCTAAGACTAGTTGAAGAGGGAGGTATCGGAAGGTAGAAAAATTGGCTGCATGTCAGGTCAGGTAGGTTACAGGTTCGCTGTCACTAGTTGAACCGTATTGAGGGTTATATCTGTAACCTCTCTATAACTTTGCTGTCACTAGTAAGTTCTGCGCATCTGTTTTGATATATTTGTAAATTATAGGGAGATTAAGGGTATAACGCGGATATAACTCTCAATAGCAGATTTTTCTCAAGGGAAATAGCGCATTTGATATATGGATATGACTTCTAATAATATTATTTGAAGTATATCTATGAAGTCTTATTTTTTAATAAAATAATAAAATTACAAAAAGAAATATATATTGAGTAATCGTTTCATATTCACGGCTAATATAATACAAAAAAAAAAATTTTAATATTAGTAGTTACACCTGTGGGCGATTTCTATTAACATTGATTGAAGAATTTCATCAAATAGACACTAATCTAGTTAAACCTGCTCCATATATAGTTGTTCAGCATTTCAAGGGCACCATTGCCATCCACATTCTTGAAGGAAAACTTACTTGATTCTCCATCCTCAAATTTTGCGCAGAAATAAGGTGCCATTGGAACAAGAAAGGAAATATAAAATAACTCGTTTAAGCTTTTCATGAGCGAAATAGAGGAGTATTTTTTTAATTATTTTTATTATTATTTTATTTTCTTAGGAGGGGGTAAGCTTTGGTTGAAGTTCGCTCATTTTTTAGTCCATTGTCTTCTTTAGTTTTGCTCGGAGAGATGCCATCTATGTTTTATAAAATTTTTTAAAGTATTTTCAGTAGCGATTCTGCAGCAGTGCGCAAGTACTTAAGAGGGAGAAGAGAGAGAGAGAGGGGCCTAGTTTGACTTGGCTAAAAAGGACAATTTTCTGCTTTGAAGTCTAGCCGAAAGCGGCCATTCACGCCTCACCTTGTCTTTTCTCAGAACGAGACTGGCTTTTTCAATGTAAAGGTTTTTCAATGACCAAAACTGGACTCTCTCCGGTCTTTACCTCAGGACGCACCAGCTAGCTTTAACGTTCAAAAATGTCTTCTTTTATTTTTCCCCCGAGCAAATTATGCAAGACTTTCCAATCAGAAAATGAAATAGTAAACTCACTGTGGTGCCTACATTGTACAAAGATGTTTCAGAATACTTGGATGGAGCGCTTATAGGAGATTTTTGTTGTGTAGTGAACCTGTTGGAGTTATTTTCAATTTATTTTCTCATTACATTATATTTCCTATTGTTTTGCTGAGTTTGATTGTAATTATTCTCATTTATAATGCACTGATTATGTGTTAAAATGAAGAGTGGACATTTGCTTTGGTTAATGTGAAGTGGGGGTTTTTTATAGAAGCAGAGGATTCGATTTGGTTGTTTATTATTTTAATATTTTCAGACACAATGCATTTGGTTCATTAATTGAAGGCACATCTATTGAAATTATCAATTATAATTTTTATAATCTACCAACCATTATTGTGAGCACTTCGACTGGGAGTTACGGTGACGAAAGTGATTATTGAGCTCATTAGGACTAGGATGGACTCTTTGTCAGGTCTAATTATTAGGTGCGGAGGGCGCACGCAATAATCGCTCCTTTGTCAGGCCTAAGGATCACAAATTTATAGGCAAAACATTAGAAAATTTACCTAAATCTAACACTTAAAGAACAGAAAAAATTGTAGGGACTTTTTCATGCAAAACTCTCCAAACATTAATATTTACATATCTCGCACCTAAACTATTTTACCTTTCCTCAATTACAGTAGTACATATCATTTTTCTTCTCTTCAGTTATCACAATAAACAGCAGCGCTTGAGAGATTTCAGAAAAAATAATATTCTAATTATCACTAGTTCCCTCTGCAGGTGTTTTCAGAATCAAACAGCTGAAGAAACCGTTTTACCTTCTAATCACTTCCATTATTTAAGCCATCTCATATAATCACAACAATATAAACTAAAACTAATATCTCAAATACATTGATACGACTACGAAGACGAACTTCATTGGAACAGTAAACATAGCACAATTTTTTATTTTATTTTATAGAAGGATTAGCCTTCTAGAGGAAAAAACACTACATCCTGAGTTTGGACGCAAGCTGTGTCCGAACAACGGTTGAATCCACTGGAAGTAGTAGAGGAAAAAAAATGACCTACAGTAGATCGCAGCCATTGTCCGGACGCAGCTTGAGTACGGGACTCTGAATGTAATATTTTTTCCTTTTAGAAGTCCGTATATTTTACAATCCAAAAGTAACCAGTACCTCTTGTATATATTATGTATGAAAATACCACAACTACAAAAAAAACAAACTCTAATAAGTTCCTGAATTTATCTAAATTATCCCCAAACAAAAAAAACTCCACTACCAAATAACAAATAAAGAAAAGTTATACATGACTTCAGCGAAAAAATTTACATGAAAGTTTTCCAAACCTGTACTACTATGTGGTATTGGACGAAATAACCCTTCAAAATCTGCATAAGATTTTCAAAACCCAGGGGGTGAAGAAGAATGCAGACTAGTAATGAAAGAAAAACACATAAGATTAAAGAAAAACCTTCTTGAGCTCAATATAATATAAAACCACTACTCATGAGAAGCAATTAGTTGATCAACAATTCTTAGAAGAGCCAGAGCACTAGAGCTGCACTTCTTGTCCTCAAAGCATGACCGCCCTTCCTCTGCCGCCTTGCCAAGCTGAGGATCCATAGGCACCTTGCCAAGGAATTGGACACCCATATCATCACACATTTTTGCTGCACCACCTCGACTACTATCAAACACCTCACCGCAGGCAAAAAGAGACAATAGTTCGGGCGCATTCTTATTTATATACTTCTGAGCCCACTCGGTGACATCCTCGACTACAGTTCCTTTCTCACTCTTAACAGATCTCTCAAACTTGAGATCCAACACTGGCTGCCTCAGCCCGCTCATGTTCTCCACAACTCCTAAGATTCTGATCCCAACTTTCTTGCAAAAGCTTATTTCCTTACGTACATCGATCAGAGAAACCTGCTGTGGGGTAGTGACGATGACAGCACCATCGATCCCAGATGCCTGAAGAAATTGGACGATTGAAATGTGTTCGTCGGACGTACCAGGCGGAGCATCCACCACGAGATAGTCGATCTCGCCCCAATGCACATCTTTTAGAAACTGCTTGATGAGACCATTCTTGCGAGGCCCGCGCCAGATGACAGCCTCATCAGGATGGGGAAGCATGAAGCCGATAGACATGACACCAAGATTGGAATCAAGGTAGATGGGAGACCAACCAAGGTTGCTCTGATGGATGTCTTGTCCCTCTAGACCGAGCATCTTGGGGATGCTAGGGCCGCATATGTCGATGTCGAGTAGGCCGACCTGGTAGTCTTTGCTTGCAAGAGCGAATGAGAGTTGAGCTGAGAATGTACTCTTTCCGACACCGCCTTTGCCAGATAAAACCAGTATTTTGTGCTTAACAGTAGCCATTCTCTCAGCTATAGCAATCAGATCTGATGTAAATAAAACGTAAAAGATGAATTCAATAAGTTGGTTTCAAATGTTGTTCATGATAGGAAAGAGAGTGCACAACTGCAGTAATCAGGAAAAAGGATACGGAAATATTTTGCAATACAAGTTTGAATCATGAAATGTTTTTCGTTTAGCTCTTCAACAGTAAAAGGACCAAAGGAAAAGAAAAATGCTGACAAAATCATCGATTGAAGAATAAATTTACACCTAGTGGTAGAGTGAGAAAGAGTTATATACATCATAAACTGTGCAGAACAAAAGGAAACCAAAAAACTCGTGGTATATTTATATAAAAGTGGTAAGCTGAGGTTCCGTCCGGGTGTACTCCAATTCTTTTTTTTTTCCCTCTTTGATGGGCGTCACAGTTTTTTTTACTGCTCTGAAGTTTTCAAAAGTTGCTGAAGTGTTGTCTTTTTATTATTTTTTTTTTTTTCTGGTCTTTCTGGTCTTAAGCTTTGCTTTTTTTTGTTTTGATTAGACTTTCCTAGGTGATGATCTGTTTGATTACACTCAGCTCTCTTCGTCATGGTTTCTGGCGGGCTTTGGGATTTGATGAACCCTCAACCCGGCTGGAATTTGGCTCATTTGGACACCACACTTCCGGGCTGTTTGCAATCAAATTGATCTTTTGTTTTTCAATTTTACATTTATATTTTATTTTATTTATATTTAGATTTGAATTAGAACTTTTTCAGTTGAGATGGTTGTTCTTTAAAAACTTTCAAAACATCTTTTAGGTGCTTTGAATATTTTAGAAACAAATTGATTTGTTAAAAAAATAAAATATAAAAACATGTAAATAATTATATCAACCAAACACATTTTTAAAAATTGAAAAAGATATAAAAATAAAATTACCAAATTGAAGCCAAACAGGCCATAAGGATTTTACACTTGATCTACGTAATTGTAGACAAAGAGAGGACACACAAATTGAAAACATAAGCAACTCAGGCGTGTTGTCGGTGTGAATGACTTTAAGTATAATTGACCAGACCAATAAACAGAAAATCATGCAGGTCCAAAATAAAGCCACAAGGCACAAGGATCACACCAAATTGGATTCACATTTCCTACTTGAATATTCTATGAAAGGGAGGGAAGAGAACTTCATTAGTAGACCATCTTCAATTTCATTCTGTAATTCTCTTACTTACGATCAATAAAATATTTTCCTTCATCTTCAATTCCTCGAACAACTCCCATCAAACTTACTGGTAGACTTATCCAATTTCACCCCACAAAGTTTTTCCTAAACTTTGTGATTTCTTAAATTTAATAACTTCACTGAGCTCTACAAATATTTTGCAGCAAAATCTGGTTCGAACCTTTGAGTAATTTTGGATCCAAAGAAAGACTTATAAGGAAACTCACTTACAGATTAGAGTGAAATTGAAAGAAAGAACAGATGGAACGATGAAAGAAAGAGCGACAGATCGGATGGTCAAAATAAGGGGAGATTAACACTACTAATAAGATTCTATATATTAACAAACATACATTATCATGAAATATATCTTATATTTCTAAACATAGAAGGTTGGAAATTAAGATCGACAGATTCTAACACTACTAATAAGATGTATAGGCGGTCAGACATTGTATTGCTCATTCATCTTAAAATGGCATGTTAAATAGAACTCCATTGTATTTTTTAGCATCCTAAAGCAACAGCACATCAAGCTTTTGCTCTGAACTGAACTCTTCAATGAAAGGAATCACATTAAAACAAAAAATCACAGACCATTCTGTTCTCATGCACGTTAAATAGAATCAGCAGAATGAGCCACAACATCATCAAGCAAAGGTTCAACTTCTTAAAATGACATAAGCTAGCAAGAAAGGGTTAAAAGAAATCAAGAACACCAAGATCAACCTATAGAAAACAAAGTATCGTATTAAGAAACCTAATGAAAAAAACTCAGCAATCAAAAGTAATATAAAAATCCCAAATTTAAGAATTCCTGGGATGAGGAATTCTGATATACCAGGATCTGGCCCTTTTGGAGCAGTGGCACATATTTGCTGATTAGGGCAACCTTCACAAGCATCAGACTTTCCAGCGGACTCTGACTGAGGCCCTGGACAATCTGCTAGGCCAATAGAAAACTCCAAACAATAAAAAACTAAACATTAAATTCACTGAAAAAAAATAGAAAGAAAAAAAAAATTGGGAGGAGCATACGCTCATTGGCATTCTCTGGGATTTCATGATTTCCATTCTCCATCTCAAACTCTTTCTTTTCTTCACTCTTACAGCCTTTCTCAGCTTCTTAGAGAATTCTCACAAACTGAAAATTACATGAAAGTCACATTCAGCGGGGGTTATGGTTGAACTCGGTCAGCCAAAAAAGCAGGCCATATCCGGGCCTAACAATCTATACCCTGGTAAAAGGTCTCTTAAAAACTACATGCTGATGATGGATAACATTAGACACTAATGTCTTTTAAGGGATAGCGAAGTACATTTTGTTCTATTATAAGTAAAAGAAAGAGAAAAAAAGAAACTAACATAATATCATTAAAGAGCACAAATGAAAGAAAAATGGAAATCTCGCCATCAGGAAGACTAACTAATTCAAGTTTCATACCTATCATTCTCCTCTCATTGGTCTAATGGCCTTTCTCCTAGTTTCATCACCCTGAAATTATGGCATCTCTTTCCTGCATTATCAATCTCTGCTATAGTTTTCTTTTCTTTTCTTTTTTTTTTTTAAGGGGCTTGCATCTAATAGCATCCCTGTCAAGCTGCTGGAACTCACCCTTTTTTCACCCATGTTCACTAATACGTACTAAAATATTTTAGAAAAGAAGAAGATAACCTCTATACAAGTTATATGCTTTTTCAAGATAAAAATAAAAAGACAGTTCAATGTTGACAGGTGTTCAATTTCTAGCTGATATTTGGAACAGTAATATTTTTTATCATCACCCTCGGGTAATGTGCTCTATAGCATAATAAATGAACATTCAGAACTGCATTATTTTAAGTCGGAAAGAATGTTTCTCTAAGCCTATATTTAAGAATTAAAAAGAGTAACTATATGCTGCCACGAGAAATATACGTATACGGGTTATGAATTCAATCAAAATTGATAAAAAAAACTATGTGATTATTATTTACAATTGATTATGATTAACACATGGTCAAGTAACATTGAAAGATATTAACACATTGCCGGGAAAAAAAAATGGTTTCTAGATGCAAGTAAAATCTCATACACCAAAAGAACTTGTGTGGGGTATGCAATAGTAGGCTAAGTTGTCTGCTTGGTTGAACATATTTGACTATACGTTCTCCTATTAATTTAGGATGAAAAAAGTGCAAATGCAGATATCCTACATCCTTTCATTTCACATTCATTGTCAGCATATGCAAGCCACAAATACATTTTATCTATATAGGCTACTATCTTCCTACTATTCTTCTATATGAAGAATTGTAGCATCCTTCTATAAGACTTCTTTTGACTTGCTCTTTTAATCAGGCAACATTTAAAAACACTCAAAGCAACTTTTAAATGTTTTGATTGTTTTTAAAAACAAGTTAATTTATTTTTTAAAACAAAAATAAAAACATATAAAAAATACACTAAACAAATATATTTTTAAAATAAATCCAAAAATAAAAACAAAAACAAAAAATAAAAATGATCTCAAACAAGCCCTTAGTTTCTGGCCGAAGCCTGCAACAACAAACTTAAAGTTTATTTGGCTGCCCACCATAAGAAGTGAAAAGTAGAAAATGATATAAAGACGATCACTTCCGCTATTTTGTTGTAAAGAGTTAATGAGAAGGGGGCAAGGGGGAAGTGGAAAATGGATCAACTCTCTCTCTCTCTCTTCAATTATTTCCTTGTATATACAACATCATTTATGGCTCTCTATTATTTATCCTTTTTTTATGAATAACCAATTAGACGTATGACACCATGTAAGTCTAAAGGTCCAACTTTTTTAAGCAGTAAGCTAACATCTATTCTGCATTGTTGGCATTTGCAATTTGTTTCTTGAATGCAGACAGTGCTCCAACGGAATTTCAATAGGATTACTTATTATTTTAGTCTCCTCAATGAATCTTTTCAACATTCTTTAATCTTCACTCTCATGGCTTTCTTTTGAAAAACTCCATCTGTGTTGTTATTTATTGATACTTTGTAAACACCGTGATTAAATTATAATATTCTTAAAAATGTAAGGTTGATTATTTATTTCACAATTGATTCTGATGAAGATTTGAACGTGCCAATGTCTTTAGCATATGAATATATATTTGATAATTTGATTATTTTTGGTTAACTAGAGAACTTCATTTGGAAGTAATGAGCCAATGAAATCATCTATATCTATTGCTCAAAATTGTCAACAAAAAAAAAGATTTTTATTTATTTGAAGCATGAAATGCAAACAAAAACCCCGCTTCAATTACATGAATCACAAATATTGCCGAGAACATTACATTAGATAATATTATTCAATAACTTAATCAGCTAATCTTGTAATTAACTTTTACCTCAATATTAATTATGAAATTAATATCAGATAAATACTACTGGGTTGATGCTACATATCCGTTGCAGCGAGAGAATCTCAAGCCCTATCCTGATATGAGATATCACATACCGGAATTTGAGCGAGCAAGCAATAACACGAGGCAGAAAAAAAATGTTCAATAAAAGACATTCCTCCTTACACGGTGTCATTGAGAAAACTTTTGGTGTTTAAAAAAAAAAAAAGAGTTATACCGCGATATATCATCCTACCCGTTTCTCAAACAGGTGTAGATTGTGATTGTCACGATGACTCTCTACAATTACATTAGGCAGCATCCTTCCCGCAACGACATTGATTTCCATATGACGGATGAGAATCATGAGCATGTATCTGTCGAGGCATTTGAGTACTATCTTTAGCATTCTTTGTCACAGCTTAAGAATGATGCTTCTACAACCTATACCAAAGATGATGAAGGAGCTTGCGAGATGACAAAGTTGAGGAAACAAATTAAGGATGCGACAGTATGGGGTGATTGGAGTATTTTTTTTTTTATTCAATACTAGTTGCACAATATTTATTTTATTTAAAACCATTTGGACTTTACATTTTATAATGATTTTTTGAACTTTTTACACTATTTGTAAGTATATTTATTTTTCTATTTGCATTTCACTTATTTTTCTTTTGGTGGGTTTGAGAGGTCAATGATGAGACGTTTGACCTTATGGGTTTTTTTGGATGGTCTGTTAATTGTTGTTGTTTAGTGTCACATGTGAAATCCTAATGAAAACAACCAAGTTCCTCTCTTCTTTTTAGTGATATAGTTTATGAGGATCTTTTGGATTATCTTTTTTGAAGATACGCATATATGACAACCACAAGCTTGATTTTACGTGGGTTAAAGGCAACCAAGAACCCTTTTTTTACAAGGTCTGTTGTCTTCTTATAGTGACAGATTCGTTGATTGGTATACTGAGTTCTCTGATACTGCACATCTGCAAAAAACTGTAATTAATTACTTCTTTTAGCAATTTATACTTCCTTTATGACTAATTCATTGTCTTTTGTAGCATTCAGGAAAGATGAACACTAGGATTTCAGGGACCTCACGAAGATTGCTCTGCAACTTCAAACTTCCCTACTTATGTTACGGCACGCGCATTGCTACGGAATGCAGTTATACAGGTGCTCAACGAGAATCACAGAGAAGTGTAATTTCTTCCAATGGGCAGACGGTGAGACAGATTCTACTGCCAATAGTGATCGGGAATGGATATCATTTCTGAATGTCGGTGTAGCTCATAACGTACGACGCCCGCATTTTAAAAATAATATTATCATATTATTAAATGTAGCTTCAATAATTTTTTTTTAAATATTGATACTCAATATTAAATGAGCTATATATTTTATTTTTTGTGTTATCCTGAAGTGAATTTTTGCTTCTAAAGTATTAAATATATGGCTATGACAGTTATGTTACAAATAATATTACTACATGGCAGAATGATCATTTGTCCAGAAACAGCTGTCGCGCAGCTGTTTTCAAACCGCAGAAAATAAACAATCTGCCAGCTTATCTGCAGCAACTTCTGCGCAGTAGCTTATTGATAAGCTGCAGCTGCCCCAAACAAACCCTAAGTTTGAGAGGTGCAAGAAAGTGTATGGGGATGATTTAGGATGCATAAAAAAATATAGGGTTGTTGGTTTTGAAAATTAGCAAGGAGGAAAGATTTTGGGTAAGGTTTGGGCGAGGTATTAGTGGATTTTAGTACCCTCTGATGGAACTAGAGTTAGGCAAGATCTGAAATCAAATGATATCAACATTTAACAAACAGCCAAGAGAAACAAATATTATTACTAAATTCAAACTCTAAAATTATAAAAGACAGTAGGAAAACGTGAAATTGTAACAAAACAACAACACAACACTGGAATTAGGGTTAGATCTATGTGTAGGATGTGACAGTAGACCTTCGGAATGGTGGCAACGCGGCGGCTAGAAAGCTGGAAATAGCAGGATGGCAGTTTCCAGGAGTCTAAGCAGCAAGCAAATAAAATCAGCTGCGGGAGGGTTGTTCTAGGTGGAAGCGATAAAGAAGAAGAGGAGAAAACGTGAGAGTGTTGTGGGAAAGGATGGTACAAAAATTTTAGAAAGGATAAACACCACATAAAGACCAAGATAAACACCACATGAAATTCAGAATACCATTTGAAACCCTAGAATACAGCCAATTAAGAAAAAAAGAAACACCGATGGCTGTCCCAAAACAATTCACAACCAAAAACTACACCCTAAACACTAACAAAAGTAAATATATATTACAAGATAACTAGGAGTGGGGACCCTCTTAAAAGGCGGCACTCCCCAATACCTTGGATCATATATATTATTACATAACTAAAAGTGAAGACTCACTTAAAAGCAGCACTCCCAAAACTAGAGAGTCAAACGGTCTTCCAAAAGCCCAGACCAAAACAATCCAGAGTAAGACGTGGCACGTTGAGGAATTTCTAAGACTTGGAACCTATGAACTTGCTTGGGATTAACCAAAAGCAAGAGAAATGAGAATTAGGGTTTACATATTTATCTTAAATTGAACTGACACACCAACCAACGAGCCAAGTCTTGCCAAGCTTGAACTTGATCTCATTTAATATACGAGCTATAATTTAAGCTCGAGTTCGCAGCTCGATAAGCTTGTTATAAGTCGAGCTTGAGGCAAAGCTCCTTTGCACCCATACTCATCCTAATGTATCATCCTTGAATAAAAAATTATCATTGACAATCTCA